AATTAATATTTATTTTTTATTGCATCAATTAATTTTTTTCTATTAAAATAATTTTTTTTGCATTAGTAAAAAACAATTTTTATTGTGATAATTTAATTTTTTTTAAATGTTCAATTTAATATCTGAATTAAAAAAACGAGATTTGAAATGAAAAATAGATTTTATTGCATTAATTTTTGAAAAAAAAACGAACTTTAGTTATTTTCTATAATTATTTTGCAAGTTGGTTCCCCAAAATAGGAATCAGGTGCAAGTTGGTTCATCAAAATGACGATTTTGCAAGTTGGTTCCCCAAAATAGGAATCAGGTGCAAGTTGGTTCCCCAAAATAGGAATCAGTGCAAGTTGGTTCCCCAAAATGACGATTTTGAAAGTTGGTTYCCCAAAATAGRAATCARRTGMAAGTTGGTTCCCCAAAATGACGATTTTGAAAGTTGGTTTCCCAAAATAGGAATTAGGTGAAAGTTGGTTTCATTTTGGTGCAATTTTTCCTATATTTTTTATAAAGATAAATATTTTTTTGTTAAAAAACCGTAACAACTCTAATTTTTTTTAAATATATTTTTTAGATATTAGCAATATATTAAATAATATGTAAAATAAAAAAATTCAAAATATAATGTTATAACAAGACATGTCATATCAGCAAAATTTTACACATGGACATTCTATTTGGACAATAACATATCATCAAAACTTGACAATCTATGTCATGTCCTATTAGTTCAAATCAAAAGGTTGTCCATTACTATAATAAGAAATGTCATGTCAGTAACATGATACATGTAAACAGTCTAAATGGACAGCAAGATAACATGTAAACCTAGTATAATGGGCAAATTTAAATCAAAAACTATCAACGCGATAATAGGTAAATTTTTCAAAATACAATATCTTAATAAAAAAAAATTCAAAGCATATTACTGTAATAAGTAAAAACTGAAAGTACAATTATATAATAAAAAATTTATAAAAATAAATTATTATTTAATGCACTTTACCTTTATATTGATGGTTTGTTTTATGTAGTTAATATATAAGTCTCATGTAATATATGCATCACTTTATATATTTAAAAGAAGCAATATTTAATTTGATGCATAAATAAAATATGAGATTAAATATTTTTAATAAAAAATTATTAATAAAGTTTAATAGATATATAAACGAGGAATAGTGGACGAATCTTTTAATAAAGGTTTAATTTTGGAACTCAAAAAGAAATATATTTACAAACAAATAACCCCTCAGTCCCTCTCAATACTAATCCTTTTATGATGTGCCAAAATGTAAGCATTAATTAATATTTGCTATTTAAATTAGTATATTGCTGTTCTTAGACATGTAAAGACGATGATGCGTTTAAAGTGTTAAATAACTCTCTTTTTTAAAGGACTCGTCGTCATCTTTGATGAGGTTGCCTCCACTATATTGATGGAAATAGATTTAGATTTATGACACTGACTCTTCTATTAATATTTATTCTTGTAAATATTTCGGTTAATTTGTTTATATTTGTATTGAGATTTACTAGAAGGGTACTCACGCAATGCAGCGAGATACATTTCGATTTTAATGTTCTATTTTAATATTTGTCTCCGTCGATGTTATAATACGATTTTATGTGTTTTTAAGAAAACAATAATAATTTTATTTTTGAATAAAATATAAATTTAAAAATATCATAAAAAATTGAAAAAAAAATATGAATGTTAATATCAAACCAACTATTTAAAAGTTCTTATTTTT